TCCTGACAGCTGCAGGTTGAGACTTGCTTAAGTCTCCAGCCTTCATTACCAGTTAGGGCACTGGGGACTCTCTCTCTCTCTCTCTCTCAGCTCAAGAGAGGACTCATTGAACTTGGAAATCTCAGTAAAGTGATCCATCCCAGTATTGTGCTACCGTACTCCATAAGTCCTTTTCATAAATCATAGGGAATCTACCAAACATTGTAGGCCCAGAGACTATAATTATCATTGCGGTCCATTCCCTTATTCTCCTTTCCAGTAAAGTTACTGAGACCCATGGGTCAGTACAGCGACCAATTCTATCATATATCTAAGAAAAAGCACCACTATCCACCAGTACCATACCAGCTATCAACACCTGCAGACTGACGGGTACTACACATTGCAGTACTATGCACCTCAGAACCTCACACTTCTCCAGTATCAGACTATATCCAGAAGGAGCAATAGTCTCAGGCCAAGAAGATCTTGCTTCCCTCTGTAAAGTCCTCTTCATCTCCAGATGACACAATAATGCCACCACAACTTTCCTACACTGATGATTTCAGAACCATCAGTGAGGGGTTATCTCCTGCACTTTCCCTGTGACAAACACCTGCCACAATCCCACCAAGCTGTATGCAGGCAGATAAATACTGTATCCCACAAAAGGAATGAAACACTTATTTTCCCATCCCAGCCCCAATTCCCTGCTAGTTGACGCAGCCAATGAAAGAGAGTTGTCTAGCTCATTCTAGGCCTTCTCCATCTGACAAGTAATCCAAGTGGTTGGACTTGGTGGGAAGGAAGTCACTCTCCAATTTTATATGGCCAACTACCAGGCCTTGATGGCAAAATACAATCTTAACATACTCCAAATATATACATTTTATTGAGCAACTTGTCACAAGACCAGAAAGATCATTTTCAGTCTATCATTGCTGAAGGACAGTTGGTTGCAAAACCTCCCTACAAGCTACTCTAGATGCTGCTGAAACAGCCTCTGTAAGTCCATGTCACAATGGTGGTCATGAGAAAAGCATACTGGCTCCAGTTCTCAGGTCTTCCAGAAGTTCAAAATACCATGGAAAATCTCCCATTCAAAGAGCCATTCTTCAGTGAAACTATGGACTCTTCTCTCCAGATGCTCAAAAATTCCAGATCAGCATTGCGATCAGTGGGGATTTATGTGCCTGCAACAAAAAAGTGCTTTAGTAGATCCCAAACCACTCAAGATTGAGACCATTCCAGTACCAACAGCACACTTTCCCTAAGCTTCAGGAGCCCTTACGGAGAAAACCCAATACACAAAAACACAGGCCACACACCCCTACTTTTACTCTATCAGCTCCTGCTTCTAAGAGGCACTTTTGATACCTTGGTCAAGGGCATCAAGCAATCCATTCCACTCCGAATCAGCTGTTGTGCGACTACCCCCTCTTTGGAGATTGACTGTCCCACTACTTAGCCTGGGAATTTCTTACCTCAGACAAGTAGATATTAGAGAATGTCAAAGTGGGTTACTCTATCCACTTCCTTTTCATCCCTCTTTCCAATCCTCTCCCCGTCCTCCTTCATGGACCCTTCTCACGAGGAACTCCTAAGTCAAGAAGTTTATTCTCTTCTCCTGTGAACAATAGAACTGGTTCTACCAATGTTCATCGGAAGAAGGTTCTATTCCAATTATGTCCTTGTTCTCAAGAAAGATGAAGGATGGAGACCAACCGTTGCGCTCAGGATCTTGAACAATTGCGTCCTAGCATAACACTTCAGAATGGTGACACTAGCTACCATAATCCCATCCTTAGACCCAGAAGACAGGTTCATTGACCTTGACCTAGAGGATGCTTACTTTCATGTAGCTATCCACCTCTCCCACAAGCGCTTCCTATGTTTTGTAATAGGTGTGGATCACTGTCATTATCGAGTTCTCCCCTTTGGACTCTGTGCGGCCCCAAGGGCGTTCACAAAGATTCTCTCAGTGGTAGTGACTTGGCTCTGCCAGTGGGGAATATCAGCATTCCCATACTTGGACAGCTGGCTTCTCAGAGGCCAATCACCCCAAGAGGTCCTAGTCGGCAATGTCCACGTCATAACACTATTCCAATCTCTGGGCCCACAAGAAATCCGTGCTAACTCCAGTACAGCATACGCCAAACAGCAAGAGCGATTGGAGAGAGATTCTCCAAAGAGAGATTCTCCACCCTATCCCATCTAATCTCAACATTACAATTCAGCCCACAAATAACCTAAGGATTTGCCTACAGATGTTGGGCCACATGTCGGTCACCACATATGATATTCCCCATACAAGGATGCACCTCAGTTACCTCCAGACATGACTAAGAGTAGTGTATACCCCAGTCAGACAATCTTCTCCAGACACATGTCAGTGTCTCGGGAAGGTACTCTCTATATGGTGGAAAGACCCGTGGAAAATCTCTGTTTGAATCCCATTCATACATCCAGCATCTTTGAAGACCCTCATAACAGATGTGTCTGTTATGGTGGGAAGCTCACCTACAGGGAGACAAAGCACAGGGCAAGTGGTCAGCATAGGAATTGGCACTACATGTCAATATCGTGGAGCTAAGAACAGTGGATATGCTTGCCAACTTTTCCTCTAGGCCATATGAGATGACCCAATCAGAGTAATGCTGGACAACAGGGCAGTGATGTATTACATCAACCGCCAGGGTTCGGCAAGATCCCAGTCCTTATGTGCAGTATCACTAAAGTTGTGGAACTGGTGCATTTCTCATCAGATAGAAATCAGCAGTTTATCTGCTAGGCCTCCACAATGTAATTGCAACCGCTTAAGCAGACACTTCTGCCAAAATCATAAATGGGAGCTCAAAAACTCTGTCTTCCAGAGCATCTTCCTGACCTGAGGTATACCAGGGTAGATCTCTTCGCCAACACAAACAATGCAAAATGTCTATTTGGCTCCAAGGGAGGTTATGGTCACAACTCTCCTATGGATGCCCTAATAACACCATGTCCCCGTACCCTTCTTTATGCTTACCCACCTATACCGCTAGCCCTAAAGCTGTGCTGAGAAGGAGACAGAGCTATCATCATAGCACCTGCTTGGCCAAGACAGGTGTGGTGCTCAAACCTCATCCACCTCTCAAGGTTAACACCATTCAGGCTTCATATCATGAAGGACCTCTTGACATAAAACTCAGGGACCTTCATCCTTCCCAACTCCTCCTCCCTGAATCTGAGAGCATGGCTCCTCAGTGGCTCCCAGCATGGAGTTAACCTTTTCAGGTAGAGTTCAGTCAGTTCTCTTATCCAGTAGAAAGCCTAGTACTCTCAAGACTTATCTCCAAAAGTGGAAACATTTCCAATCCTGCTGCTTCCTCCCATCTTCTCAAGCCTTGGAAGTTCCATTTTCCAAGACCTTGGACTACCTATTGGAATTAAAAACAAAGAGTCTCCGATGAACTCTTTCAGGGTACATCTGACCATTCACTCATCCAGGGCTTTTCAGTCTCTGCCCACTCTACAACAGTCAGATTTCTCAAGGGTCTATACAACCTCTTTCCTCCCGTTTGATACCTGGCTCCCCAAGGGACCTCAGACTAGTTCTAATCATCCTAAGGAAACACCCCTTTTAACCAATGGCTACCCACTCCCTCCAGACTTTTTTCCTAATTGCCATCACCTCAGCAAGATGAATGGGGAAGCCAGGAGCACTCAAGACTGACCTACCATACACCACCTTTTACAAAGACAAAAGTTATACTAAGTCCCCTCCTCAGAATATAACATAACTAGGCGACTGACCTGCTAGTGTTCTACCCAAAACCTCATGCCTCCACAGAGGAATCAAGTCTTCATTCACTGGAAGTCAGAAGGGCCCTTACCTTCTATCTGGATAGGACTAAAACCTTCTGGACCTCTTCCAGGCTATTTGTATTGTTTGCAGAAAGGATGAAGGGCCAACTGATTTCCACACACAGGCTGTCTAAGTGGGTTTCAGGTTGCATCTTGACCTGCTATGAAAATGCAAGTGTGCAGGGATGGTGTCCCTAGCCTCCATTTGCCAGAAGCTGGGAATGGGTAATAAGGAATGGATTACTTGATGATTTTCTGTTCATTCCCTCTGGGGCACCTGGCATTGGCAACTCTCGGAAGACAGGATACTCTGCTAGATGGACCTTTGGTCTGACCCAGTATGGCCGTTCTTATACAGACCCCTCATAGAATGACAGCACATTCGACTAGACCCCAGTTCATATCTATAGGTCTACTGAGGGACGTTCCCATCATAGAAATCAGCAGGACTGTGACATGGTCTTCTATACATATATTTGCCAAGCATTACACCATCTGACCAGCTTGCAGAGGTGACACCATCTTTAGTGATTCAGTCCTCCAAACTATCCTAGACTTTTCATCTCAGCACCCACCACCTTGATGAGTTACTGCTTGGGAATTTCCTACGGTAGAGCACCTATAAGGACAAAGCATCTCAAAGAATTCAAGTTACTGTAAGGTAAGTAACCTCTCCCTTAATAGGCAACAATCATCTGATCCTCCTGTGAAGCATAAACAGCAGCACGGAATGAACCTAATGTGTCTTAAAGGTTTGAGGAGAATCAATGGTTGTCCTCTTATCACAGTGCCCTTTTGCTCTTGGGCTGCAGAAAGCCTTTTCTATTATCTTTGGAATGTGGCAATAGGAAGTCTTACCCTTCCTAGAATCAGCTATTAAATAATCTGCTACTCCTCCCTGGTGCATCAACTAAAAACCCTTTTGTCCCACTTAATTTTTCTAATTACTAACACCACCACTGTGGATGGCCCTTAACAGTGCATTGGCTTTACTTCTGCCAGACTGATCAGATTTACCAACACTGGCAACTTTCATTGAAATCAAAATTTTTCTTGCCATTCAAGTAGCAATAGGCGATGCAAAGAATAAATGCTGTTTAAGAAAGTAGGATGCTAATGAATGACATGTATATTTCAAGAGATGCTTTATAGTTTTAGTGTCATAGCAGAGGCTTCTTTTGTTGTTGCAAACTCCAGAGCAAGGAATGAATTCAAACCCTGTTACTAATTAATTATAATTTTCCCCTTCTCAGACAGTGAAGCATTTAAGAACATTAGAATTTAAACCATTTGTGATATTTATAAAGCCTCCATCACTTGAGCGTTTGAGAGAGACCAGAAAAAATGCCAAGATTATTTCAAGCAAAGATGAAAAAGTGGCTGCAAAACCTTTCACAGTAAGTATGTTTAGAATCCGTAAGAATATGAGATGTAGTCAAGAGTTTTTGTAACTGTTTATCTTGAAGATGAGGACGCTGAATGCCTTTAGAACTTAATGGAACTTGTGCCTCAAAACGTTTAAGTGTGTGTATGTCTATGTATACATATTATTTGTGTTTGGGTAAATTGCATGCCCAGTCTCTTTGGTGCCATAAGCCTAGTAGGGTGATTTAATTGCGTGATTCACTTTTGCAGAGCTACATTGGACTTTCTGAGCTTCTTATTTCATTTCATGCTATCACAACTCAGGCAAAAAATTATTTTTAGAGGAAATAATGCTATTGTCTTCAACATAAATAATACTGTTACAGTGTTAAGAAAAATCAGACGGTTTTTTTATGAAGGTACATTGGGTTTTCTTTAATTTAGATATTATTGTGACCCAGAAACCTCTTGGTGCTAACAGGCAGAGGGGGTGCATAGCATTTTACAGGAGTCAGATGTATACATATTAAGTGTACCAAAGGATGGCATGTGAGATCTCTACCAAGAGCCCACTAGTTGTCATAATCATTGCAAAATGTATGTATGGACAGTGTTTAAGGAATGAGGAATCTGTACTTAAAATTATGTTCTTAACTTACGCGAGTTAAGGCAAATCACCAGAAAGTGATAAACATGCTCCTGTCAGGTAGGAGGGAAGAGATGCTTCTCTCTCTCTCTGGCTGGTCATATGTGTATTGTCTGCTTCACAATCTAGATTTATCTACAGACTGAGCCCAATGCTAATCAAGAGATAGTAAAAAATTGACAAGAAACAGGCACCCAAGAAAAAAAACAACCAGCAGGGGCATCTGTCTATGAGAAAAGATAACAGATTGGAGTGGGGGGTATAATTGGGGGTACAGAGAGACACTCAGGATCTTTTCCACTGAGAAGGCAATCTGACCGTGTGACTTGTCTCATGAATGGAAGATCATAGCCAAACCTGGCTGTAATATGCTGGTAGGATTTTGGGTGAGCTTTTGTTCTACAAGACATGACAGTAACTAGTTCAATAAGTCTAGGTTCTAGAGTTCATGTTATATTTTTATTTTATATGTTACCATTTGTTTCCAATTTTTTACTTGCTATCATTGGGCTCTCTACTCTTTGTTAAATATACTTTTGCTTGTTTTCACCATAAACATATGCAAGTGTTGCATGTTAAGTGGAGCTGTGATCTTAAGGTGTAACTGGTAAGGTCGGGGAGGTACTGTTCCTTTGGAAGCAGCAAATTTCTGAATTCTGAGTGTGTCCAGTGGACCAGGAGCTGGACACTTTAGAGCAGTGGTTCTCAAACTATTGTACTGGTGACCCCTTTCACATAGCAAGCCTCTGAGTCAACCCCCCTTATCAATTAAAAACACTTTTTTATACATTTAACACTGTTATAAATGCTGGAAGCAAAGCAGGGTTTAGGGTGGAGGCTGACAGTTCCCGACCCCCAGTTTGAGAACCCCTGCTTTAAAGGGATGCTCAGGGGTTGGTGTGTGCCTATCTCTAATCTGCAGAGGGACAACAGAGCCTGGGCACAATGGGAGTGCTTGTGTTTCCCACGGCCAGTGGAGTTAGGGAGCTGACCCCCAGCAAACACAGACAAGGCTTCCTCATACTAAGGGCAAGTGATAGCGAGATGCCTGACAACCCTGGGGTACCTCGGGAAGAGTCACAGTTACTATTATTTTTTACTTCTGTTTAAAAAATAATAATCCAAACAATCCAAACAAAAAAACAAAACAAAAACTTCTACACGTGTATGTATAGAGAAAAATAGAAAACATGTTAAAGGTACATTTGAAAAAGTAAAGCCCATGCTCAAATAAATCCCTTGCTAATAGCAACCGGAGACTTAGGTAATGCAGTTGTTAGTGCACCATTAATGTAAACAGCTAAAAACATTTTTCCACTGGCATTTCTACCACAGAAATTTCTCTGTAATGATCAATTAGTGGCTAATTACACTGCTATAAGGGAAAAGGGGAAAGAATTGCCTTGTCAGGCTAAACCTAGTTGTGAAAATATTCACAGAGAATTAATTTGAAATGATGGTTTCTGAAAAGTTCATGGTCAGTGGCACAATTTCCATCTACTGGCTTAACTGAATATATGAAATATATGAAATAAACTGAATATATGAAATTAAATAAAATAGTCCATGTAAATTTGCATTTGACACTGATGTGAATTGATTCAATTGTACTTTTGACTGACTTCTTATACTGATTTTCTTAGGAAGAAGATTTTCAAGAAATGATTAAATCTGCACAGATGATGGAAAGCCAATACGGCCATCTCTTTGACAAAGTTATAGTCAACGATGACCTCACCACAGCTTACAATGAGTTGAAAGCAACATTTGACAAATTGGAAACAGAGACCTTTTGGGTTCCAGTCAGCTGGTTGCATTCATAACACTATAAATAAGGAATATAAATGATGATAGTTCATAATCATTTTAATAAAGTGCATGGCTGGAACTCAATTAGTTGCCATTTAATTGGTGTGAGGATTTTCTAACTTTGGCAGACTGACATGTAGTTAAGGACTTGGTGTAATTGGAATGCAGGTCTTCTTTTTCTGTATCTTAAACCATCCTGTTCAGAATTTGGGGACAATCAAATCACATTGAATCCAAGTCTTATCAGATGCAATATACTGAGCTAGTAGTGCACCCAAAACTACTAAACGCCTTGTTACTGTTTACATATAAATCTCCAAGTTGAGTTTTGTTAATGGAGGGGTAGCACAGATATTAATTAATGCTGTGGTGATCTCAAACATAGCTACTGCCATATAAAGTTGCACATGAGCACTTGGAGGTTATCGTACTTTAACTAAGAGCTTAAGAGAACTAAAACAGGCAAAAATGGCAAATATTTCTCTGGTTAGGAAGGACATCAGAGTTTTAACTAGGTTAAGTATCAAGAGGGGTTGTTTTACTTTCTTAAAAGTGTGAGCTTTAGCTTATGTGTACAGAGTGATCCTAGTGTTCATTTGTATTTAAATTTTTCACCAAAAGAGAGAAGTAAAGTATTCAGTGGCTTACTTGTAAAATGCGCTGTAAAAGAGCTACAGTTGTCTGCTGCTACTGTTCTGCTGTGAGTATGCAGGTCTTGAAACTCTTTGCATGCATGCTTTGCGGCACAACAACTTGGGAATATTTATCTGAATAAGGGAAAATATAGGTTATTTAAATGTATATAATTTAAAAAATCTTTGTGAGTTAATCTTCTATAAGATCAGAGGTATATTGGTATGAATAGCTGTGTAGTAGTAAGGGTGTGTGGGGGTTTTTGTTTTTTTTTTACTTCAACTTCAGACATTTCTAGTGTTCTTTAAAATACTTTTAACTTATTAGCAGATAATTATTAGGGGAAATCTTTGAGTAAGCAGTTGCAGTTGCAGTGCATGAATTGCTTTTATTAAAAAATACATAGCAATATTTGTTTTGAAAAATATATGATGTCAAAATGCACTGTTTTAGATTTGAAAGCTTTTCTTTGAGTTTAGGGTTACCATATTTCAACAATAAAAAAAGAGGACGGGAGGAGCCCCGCCCTAGCCCCGCCCCTGTCCTAGCCCCGCCCCCGTCCTGTCCTAGCCCCGCCCCTGCCCCTTCCACTCCCTCCCACTTCCTGCCCCCTCAGAACCCCCAACCCTCCCCCCCACTCCTTGTCCCCTGACTGCCCCCCAGGACTCCACCCCCTCCCTAAGCCTCCCTGCCTCTTGTCCCCTGACTGCCTCCTCCTGAGACCTTCCCCACACCCTAACTGGCCCCCTAGGACCCTACCCC